CGAGATCAGAAAGTTTCAAATTCCAAGCGTTAAAATCCCAAATACCCGGTTCCCGAAGCTTTTCCTTCATTCCGAAGATAAGCTTCCAGAGGTCATCCCTCGAATCCAATATTCGCACAATTTCGTTCGGCACGAACGACATCGACAACTTCTAAAATACCATTAATTCATCGTTCAATTACCTCGCCGCCAGAAAACTTCACTAAAATATCATTGAAGGAAGAATAAACGGTTCCCACAAAATCCCCGTGGTTCTTCGATGAAATTGAATATACCCTCCGATCGTCGAGGCAATTAAAGCCGACCTACCCCAAGGAACTCCAAGCAACCGCCAACGGGCTAATCGTTCCCGAAATCGATTCCGTGCCGGACCGACGTCTCGGATTCGATATCCGAACTTTGATCGACCGTTACGCCGGGGAATGACGGTCGCGGGTGACGTAGCGAGTTCCGCAGATGGGGCAGGAGGGTGGTTTTTAATCCGGAGCTAAAAACCTGGGGAATCCCGGCGGAAGTTTCGCCGCAGCGGCGCACGAATTGGCCGGACGTTGACCGCGAGGCAGGAATTTTCACTAGTTCAGTGCAACGGAGGGTTAAGCTCGAGTGAAAATAACAACCGGGGCCCCGAAGTCGTTAAAAGTTGAAGGGATTATCCAACGCGGAGAGCCGCGACGTGGATGTCCGAGTGTCAGTTCGAATAACCGATTACCAACGTAATTTGTTTATAATGACGCGTTTACATCAACTGAACGGGGACTTGTCCTAGTTATAGCTCGTTTCCTGCGATTGCAGTTTAACCCTATTCGCGGAGATCAATTATTTGATCTCACTTCAGCCTTTGTTCATAATAACGTATAATAAATTCAGAATCGTAATGTATTCAAGTGTTCGACTCGTTCGAGCCATACATTTGATGTGGTTAATTATAGAAATTGAAGAATAAACAAATTTGACGGGACTGTTAATTATTCCTACTATTATATTTTATTTTTTTATGAAGTATAGAGTTCATTGGCATTTTTGGTAGAATTTGTTACGATTATAATCCCGGTTGCAATATTTTATTACATTTATCAGATTTTTTGAATAAGATATCAGAAAAATAAAATTAATTACATATTAATTACAGATTCGCTGTATAAAGTAGAGAATTGTGATCGTTACAAGCGTTTTATCACCACAGTTTGAAAACGCTGGGAAACTGAAAGTTAATTCTAACCTGTGAACGATACATTCACGTGCTTGTCCAAGTTTCAATTTCAATTTCAGTTGAAACGGTTACGCGAACACACCATAAGAGTCACCTGCCAATTCTTCTTCCTGTATCGTCATTTTGGTGTTTTTCGATTGTACGGTGATAGGAAACGCCCCGCAAGGGAGTAATTTAACTTTTCAGGGGCGCAGATGGGCGCGTGGCGTTTCGTCACGTCCGTCACGTTCTCTGGAAGGGGTTTCAATCGCGACGAGGGTGGGGATTGTTAGCGCACCGTTAATTGACGAGAGCCGTGCAATTGGTGTTTCTCTACCTGTCGCGCGACAAATGGATTTTTCTTGGTCGAAGCACAAGGTGGTGACCTCTCCGTGATGTAACGTAATGGTCTTTTCGATCTTTAGTATCTTGAAGGTAGATTTCAAGTATCTTTTAACCCTAATCGGACCACCATATGACTTTGAGTCACATTTGAACTTGTTACTTAAATTTTTTGATTACTTCACATTTCATTTCCAAAAGTTTTTTGGGCTTTTAAAATTTGGGCTCTATAAACAAAGAACAATAACATTTTAATCATTCCTTTTATTCTCGTCAGTGACTTTTCATATGTTTTATAGAAATTTCTATAGAAATTAAGCTCGGATACTTAGATCTTTAAATCTATATGTACTTTAGGCACTTTCTTGAATTTGATTCAAACCATCGATCGTATTTTGTCATTATAAAATCAACCTATGTGTGAGTATACTATAATTAAATCTACACAGAGTCACTTTATTTGTGGTTTTTATTATTCAAGATGTTAGTTTCTATATAACAAGACAAGGATTGCCATTTTTCCATTACTTTCCAGAAACTTGAACTGCCAGAAGAATTTCTATCGTTTCTCCTATCTACAATATTTATCCACAAAATGTATTTTATCCTTTTAGAAACTCTCAGTAGAATGAACCAGAGGTGACTGTCAAACGTCCTGGACACTTAAGGCTCATCGTCGTCTCGCCTGCATAAAACACGAGCATTATTTGATTGGTTGGTATGAAGCGACTTCAGACATGTAATCCATGGTCTCCAAAGGGAATAAATGTGACAGACGGATGGTATAGATGGAGGGGACACGTGTCAAGGCGCGATTCGAACAGAGCAGACGCTCTAATTCCTGTCTATTTGTCCGTCGATCCCGCTTTGATCCATGATAGCGTAGAACATTATGTCGCGTGACGTTGAGCGAACAACGTAGCCTCCTAAACGCTACCGAGGACTCCTAGGAAAATTAAATGTCGCGTCGGTGAGCTTCCATTATTAATTTATCGTTCCCCTTCCCTCACCGATGAAAATTGGAGTTTTATTATTTAAAACTGCATTTCTACAAAAATTCGCGACTATTCAATTTCTATCCATTAAACGGGCGATTCGATATTGTTTGACAGTGGAAGTCGGATGAAATGTGATCCCATTACGCATTGATAACGGTGATTATATCGTGACTGTTTATTATCAGCAACTTTCTGCAACTGTTAATCACGATCCACCATAATTATCTGCATTTCAATTATAGATTCGCGATGATTAAGGATTACAGAAAGTAGCTCGAGATAGAATTAACTATTACATTTTAATCGTCGCCGGTAACGTGTAATCTGATTACATTTTGACCAAACCCCCCCGGTGCCGAGTTAATCAGAACGTATTCAATGAATCCGCGGGACCATATGCGCCCATTCACTCACACTACAGTCATTAATACGCCCGATCATCCAATATTCCCGATTTTTCACGATGAATATTTAAATGCAATTCTAGAGCGAGTGTTTTCACCATGCCCGCCTCACTTCCGTCCAAGTGGTACAACTTGTACAATACCGCGGGAAATGTAACGATTAAAACCGCGGAATTTATGCATTTATAGCGCACGCCAATCTGCGGAGCATAAAAGAATAACTGCTTCAATGAACATTTAAATAAATCACTCCTCCGTTTTCAATTGGTCGAAACTTTCTCGCAAAAGAAGCTGCATTCCTCTAATTAACCAGTCCCAGTCAAACAATACACAAAAATTTGCTTCAGTTTATATTTTCTCGATAAAATAATATCGAAATAATATACCCATCTCCCAATAAAGTAATATTCCAACAGTACACCCATTTTCCAATAAAATAACATACAACAATTTACGCTTCATCCATTAACCTACCACATCGTGTCAGACTCGTGATGAAACTTTTAAACTGAATTCGATAAATCTCTATTTATTTTTTAAAATATAAATTAAATAACACTTATCCATTATCAAACATTAACCTTTGGACTAAACATAGACACAGAATGGATATGAAATTTTTATCTTCTCTTAACAAACTATTATTGATGAAGTAGCTGTATCGATGAGAGTTAAGAAATAAATCACAAGGCAAGAGATTAAACATCCTCGATCCATCAATAAGCGATCGAGATAGCCATAAACGCGGAACGTCCGAAAGTGACGACTGGAAAACGCCCAACACTCCAATCGGAAGTCGCCGTTAATCCGTCGCCGGCCAAGCCGCGACAAAATGTTTGTACACGACTGGCACGCATTTACATGTAACCGATAACCGAAAGGGGGATGAAATAGTGGAAGCGTGAACGTCCGACGGAGGGAGATCCGTATCGGGACAGGACGATCGTTGGCTCCGGCTAACGAGCGAAGTGTCGGCGGAACATCGTCACGCGACCCGTTCCACAACCCGTGTCCCGACCCACCCCCTTTCTTAAACGTATGCATGACTCTCGACCGATTCGACCCTGTTAACATATAAATTGCCGCTTAACGGCGAGACAATCAGTTCCCGGGGAAACCGGCGGCGGAGGTGACGATGGGTGGTTAAAGGGAGAAAGGACAGCGTGAGGGGTTGCAAAGGGGCGAGAAGCGAGAGGTGGAAGGAGGACGAAGACGGATCGGCCGGCGGGGGAACGGATGGGGCCCAAAACAACGGGGGAC